CAAGGACCTCTGATTCTGCCTAACGGGAAATGGTATTTCAAAACCAAAAATAGAGCATTAGGAGTGCTTATGGCTTAGTCAATTGGTCCTAGGCCTTTCCAGTACTCAGAGTTAGGAAAAAATTTAAAAGAAAATGTATATCATGAGTTCACATTGATAGTTCTAGTTCACATTTACTACTTCGGGTCTTAATCTCTTATCTTCATCTGTATCTCCTTTTAGAGGATTCTGAAAGGCACCAGGAATGATAGAACATCAAATAATTACTCACTTGCTGTCCCACAATATATACACAATAGCCTCATCATAAAAAAACCGCAGCATTACCCACAAATATGATTACTGTAAATAGCTTAGTGGTGGCGTCTGTGTGTGTGTATACATGTTTTCTATTCTTTTTGTCCTTAAGATATATATCACTTGGGCTATACAAAAAAAAATTACTGCTTTAAGGACGTATGAAATAATTACTCTTTTATGTGGTTATGCCACCAGTGGATATAAACGTAAGTTCAGTTTGTTGAATTTTTTTCAATGTTCAGAGAGTGGTTTTTAAAATTATTTAAAACATAAAGTTTTAGATGTTAAATCTACAAAGTAAGATATTTTCGAGGTTCTATTCTTGTTTTCTTCTTCCTATTGCCTCTCTTACCCATCAGTAACCTTTCTGTGCTCCTTTTATGAATTATCTTTTCATTACTTGTTGTTTTAATACAAGCATATGTATGTATACACACAAATACACACACAACCCTTCCTTTTTAAATGATAGCACATTATAATTTAAGTAATAAACTCTACATATCTGTTTTATGGGAAACACTTTCTTCTGTTTTCTCTTTCTTCTGGCATATAGTTCTAAAAAGTGCTTATTTCGTGAGCAAGTGATTGAGTAAAGTATATGTGAATGAGTGAATTATGCTGACATTTTCAGTCTCTTCTTTCAGATGATTTGATCAAAATGGAGAATAAGAGTGTTCTTCCCAAGCAGAAGAAATGAAGAAATAACATGCTACAGGAAAACACTGTCAGATTTGATGGCAGTATTCCTGAGAACTTTGTGTAGATGTCCAAATGTATGAGGAAAGACTAGGAAAATATCCAGAAAATACCACAGTGATGAATGTGGAGTAATTTTTGCTCAGAACTCTGTCCTAATTCAGCATCAGAAATTCACACTGGTGAGGATTCCTATGAATGTAACAAGTATGGGAAAGCCTTTACTCAGGAGTGTAGGCTTCATGCAAATAAGAGAATTCACACTGGAGTTAGATATATAAATGAGAAAAATATGGGAAAGCTTTCAGTGCGAACACTAGACTCATTCATCGTAAGAAAATCCATACTGGAGAGAGACCCTATAATAAATGTGATAAGTGAAACAAAGCCTTTGGCCAGTGGTCAGTCCTCAACAAGCACCAGAGGCTTCACACCAGAGAGATTTGTTACTACCAGTGTAACAAGTGTGGTAAAGTTCATAGAATTCAGCTTTTTCATCATATCAGAATCCATATTGGAGAGAAACCCTTTCAGTGTAATCAGTATAGTAAAATTTCTCTTTAACATTCATTAATTTTTCAACACCAGAGAATCCATTCAAAAGAGAACTTAGGAAGTTGATAAATATGGATGGAAAAGGCTTTGCATAATAGTTCCTCACCTGACATTGAGATTTTGTGAGTGTCCAGCATCTGAAATTGGCAAGGCAGAATGTCTTCCCACCAGACCTTGAACTTGGTTTGGATGAGAATTGGCCCTTCAAAATGGTCCCCACCAAAATCCTGTCATTTAACAGAACTGCAACCTCCATCTCCCGGGTTCAAGTGATCCTCCTGCCTCAACCTCCCAAGTAGCTGGGATTACAGGCATGCGCCACCATGCCCAGTGAATTTTTGTATTTTTAGTAGAGATGCAGTTTCACCCATGTTGGCTAGGCTGGTCTCAAACTCCGAGGCCTCCCAAAGTGCTGGGATACAGGCATGAGCCACCACACCCAGCCGGGTTTCCATTGTCTTTCATATACTATTTCACTTTTCCTTAAAAATTCCTTATTTTGGTGAAATTACTACTTTTTTGGAAAAAAAAAATTTGCTTTATCACAATGTATACTGCTGCTATAGTGTGAATGTTTGTGTGTCCCCAAAATTCATATATTGAAACCTAATCAGTCATCACTGTGATGGTATTAGGAGGTGGGGCCCTTTGGAGATGCTCTCTTAAATGAGATTAGTGCCCTTACATAAAAACGGCCACAGAGAGCTGCCATACCCTTCCACGTGTGAGGACATAGCAAGAAGGCACCATCATTGACCCTCGCCAGACACCAAATCTGCTGGTGCCTTCATCTTCGACTTCTCCACCTCCAGAACTGTGAGAAATAAATGTTTGTTGTTTATACATCAGCGAGTTTATGGTGTTTTTGTTATAGTAGACTGAACAGATTAACACTGTACTGCACACTTTTTTCTTTCTTCCTTTTTTTAAGAGACAGGGTCTCACTCTGTTGCCCAGGCTGGAGTACAGCGGTGCAACCATAGCTCATTGCCACTTCAGACTCCTGAGTTCTAGGCTCAAGGGATCCTCCCTACTCAGCATCCTGAGTAGCTAAAACTACAGACATGTGTCAACATGCCCAGCTAACTTTTAAATTTTTTGTAGAGACAGGATCTGACTATATTGCCCAGGCTGGTTTTAAACTCCTGGCCTCAAACGATCCTCCCTCCTTGGCCTCCCAGAGTACTCAGATTATAGGCATGAGCCACCACACCCAGCCACATGTATACTTTGCTTTCATTCCTCCTTTCCTTCCTCCTTTCTTTCTTCCTTTTCTTTTTCAACTGAACCATCTAAAAGAAAGTTGTATGCAATCCCATTTACAATAGACCCAAAAAAATAAAATACCTAGGAATATATCTAACCAATCTTCAAAGACCTCTACAAAAAGAACTAAAAAACACTGCTGAAAGAAATCATAGATGACACAAACAAATGGAAAAACATTTCCTGCTCATGGATTAGAAGACTCAATATCACTAAAATGACCATACTGGCCAAAGCAATCTACAGATTCAACACTATTCCTGTCAAATTACCAATGTCATTTTCACACAATTAGAAAAAACTATTCTAAAATTCATATGGAACCAAAAATAGCCCAAATGGTCAAAGCAATCCTAAGCAAAAAGAGCAAACCTGGGGACATCACATTACTTGACTTCAAACTATACTATATGACTACAGTAACCAAAATGGCATGGTGCGGATACAAAAACAGACACAGAGACCAATGGATCAAAATAGAGAGCCCAGAAATAAGGCTGAAGACCTACAGTCATCTGATCTTTGACAAAGAACAAAAATAAGCAACAGGGAAAGGGGCTCCCTATTCAATAAATGGTGCTGAGATAGCTGGCTAGCCATATGTAGAAGAATGAAACTGGGTTCCTACTTTTCATTATGTATAAAAATTACCTCAAGATGGATTAAAGACACAAACTATAAGAATCCTAGAAGAGCATGAACCCAGGAGGCAGAGCTTGCGTGAGCCGAGATCATGCCACTGCACTCCAGCCTGGGCAACAGAGCAAGACTCCATCTCAAAAAAAAAAAAAAAAAAAAAAAAATCCTAGACGAAAACCTAGGAAATGGCAGTCTGGACATCAGCCTTGGGGAAGAATTTATGACAAAGTCCTTAAAAGCAATCTCAACAAAAACGAAAATTGACAAGTGGGACCTGATTAAACTAAAGAGCTTCTTCACAGTAAAAGAAATTATTAACAGAGTAAATAGCCTACAGAATGAAAACAAATACTTGCAATCTGCATCCAGCAAAGATCTGATATCCAGAATTTATAAGGAATACAAACAATTCAACAAGCAAAAAACAATACCATTAAAAAATGGGCAAAACACATGAACAGACACATCTCAAAAGAAGACGTACAAGCATCCAATAAACATGAAAAAATGTGCAACATCACTAATCATCAGAGAAATGCAAATAAAAACCACAATGAGAACCATCTTACACCAGTCAGAATGGTTGTTATTAAAAAGTCAAACAATAAGAGATGCTGGTGAGGTTGAGGAGAAAAAGGAATGCATACACACAGTTCAGCCACTGTGGAAAGCAGTTTGGTGACTTCTCAAAGAAGTACCATTCAACCCAGCAATCCCACTACTGGGTATGTACCCAGAGGAAAATAAAGCATTCCACCAAAAAGATATATGCACCTATATGTTCATCACAGCACTATACACAATAGCAAAAACATGGAATCAACCTAGATGGCCATCAATGGTGGAATAAAAAAAATGTGGCAAATATACACTGTGGAATACAGGTAGGCGCCACTACGCCTGGCTAATTTTTTTGTATTTTTTGTAGAGACGAGGTCTTGTTATGTTGCCCAGGCTGGTCTTGAACTCCTGGGTTCAAGCGATCTGCCCACCATGGCCTCCCAAAGGGCTGGGATTACAGGAATGAGCCACTGTCCTTCGCCAAATTATGTATTCTTTATGTTTTTTATACATTTAAATAAATGCCAAAACCACAGTATACTTTTATTAGACATATTTAACTTCCTTTCTTATACTAAGTAGCAAAGAAGGATCTACTAAAGAAGTCTTGGATAAAAAGAGACTCCAGGGCACCATCAGTTGTTGACTTAGGATAATAAGTATCCCAAATGAAGCAAGACTTCCACTAAACCTTGACTTGCTTATTTCTAGAGTGTCTCTGTCACATACTCCCATATTTACTGTGATCCCCTTTTTATGGTTGTCCATTATTAGTGACTATAAATCAACCTCAGAATCATCATCTTTAACAGTCCTTTCCTGCTCCTTACCACTGGTTACTTTTCCAAAGTTTTTATACTTAGTCCATATTTCTACACTTACCCATATGCATCACTTCACCACTGCAAAAGTTTCAGACAATGTCTCCTTGCTCTCAAATATGGTCCCTTCTACACATCTTGATTGGCTTCCTATTGTGCTTTGCACAATAGGACCTTCATCAGTCTTCTTGCTAACCACTTCCCTCTCCTACATGCAGAAGCCCTGTTACCCACATCCTAAAATAGTTGCCTCATAAATGTGAATTGTACTCACTGAATTTATGTTCTTCCTTGGATAGTTCATCTACTTGTAGCTTCAGATGGTGATTCTAGAAGCAAATACAGAAATACGGGTCCAAAGCAGGAAACATGAAGAAAGGGAACCACACAGGGACCTATCTGGCAGACCCCAAGGAAAATTTTGCAAAATCTGAAGGAGAAGTTAGGTGCATTCCACGATTAAGTAACAAATCAAACTCAGTGACTCCAAAACGAATGTTATCCAGAATTTAGTACATAATCAGCATCAGAGGCTCCTCTGAACACAGAAAGTCTTGGAGCATGGGGTACATGGGGGAGACTTTACTCCAAATACAGACCTTGCTGAGCATCAAAGAAAGCAACTCTGAGCCTACCCACTGTATGTGAAAAGTGTGGGAAGACCCTTAGATCAAACAATGGCCTTATTCATCAAATGGGAATCCAGACGGAAGGAAAAACCCTGTAATGTGATGGGTGTGGAAGAACTGTTAAAGATCAGTTTTTAGTCGACATTGGAGACTTTACACAGGTGAAAAACACTTGTTGAAACGGATTTACTCAGAATGTAAGAGTTTTTGATGATCTTGAAAAACATTCAGAAGACAAATGCTTTGGTTGGAATCAGTGTAGTAAAACCTTGATTCATCAGTCTGCCTTGATTCAGCATCAGGTAGTTTATATAGCAGAGAAAGCTTGTAAGTGCCATGATAGCAGGAAAACTTCTGTACACAACTTATCCCTCTTCAGGAGATCCACTAGAGGAAAACATTCTTTAAATGTATTCGGTGTTAGCCTTCAGTTAGAGAGCAGGCCACACTGAGCAGCAGAGATCCACTACAAGGATCCATTATGAGGTCCTATTTGCAGGATTTCTTCTGTGAACAGGACTGGCATGGGCAACCCAGCATCTGTACTAAGAATGCTCACTCAGAGGAGAAAGAAGATACCCAGTAGGAAAGTGAGAGTCACAATGGGGGCCTTCCTGGAAATGAGTTTCTGAAAAACAAGCTCTGTGAGCATAATGAGATTGAGACTAGTGACTCAGTAAAAGTCTTGTGAAACATCAGAATATACACTCCTCAAGGGAGAAATACCTCGAAGGTACTGACTGTGGGAAGCACTTGAGCCCAGGGCTTACTGAACATTACAAAACTTATGCAAGAGACCAATCCTACAATCTTCATTTTACATGAAGAATGTAAAAAGACTTTAAAAACAGTAGCTATATCAGACATTTTTTTAAAAACACACTGGAGAGAGGCCCTACAAATGTAATGTCAGAAAGCGTCCTGCCAGTTGTTAGCCCTTAACTAGCACCAGTTTTTCCATGCTGGAGAGGAGCACTGCTATTGCAATGAGTGTGGCAAAGACTTCAGAACACAGGCCTGTTTTACCATCTCTGAGTACAAACTGGAGGAAAAGCCTTTTCAGTGTAAACTGTGTAGTAGTTTAGTAAACTGTTTTTTTAATTTGAGACTATCATAAAACAGTACAGTAAACAATATTGATTAAACATCAGGAAAGATTTTATGATTGCTTTTAAAGTGGGAAATCTGCCTTTACTGTAAATACCTTATTTATCTCCTGGATTATTGACAAAGAAATTGAATAAACTGGTGTCAGACATCAAAGCAAGTTATCTATAATGTATTATTGTAAATTCCATTTATTGTGAATATATTGTAACTAGGTACTAGTAGAAGATACTTCACACATGGAAATGTTTTACAGGTGAGGCAACTGAGTGGTCTTGTGCTCAAGGTCACTGTGACATATTTCACAAATGCTATCTTGACCCAGTTTGTAAGTTATGGCTAACAAATCTTCAATTCCCCTTTGCAAGTAGTTTGCTAACCCCTATCCCAATCTCTTTACTTATTGGTCCTCCACTCTCTGAAGCCACTGTGCAACACACCACAACTGCCTCCCTTATTAGGGCCTCATTCTCTCAGGACAGGTACTAGACAACTAGGGACAGCCCCTATGACCCAGAGGCTATGAAATTAACCAATCCACAGGGAGCCCCTGAAACCGAGCTAACTCCACCTCCTTGCCATATATACACTGCCTTCTGCAGCTCCAGCTTGCCATTACTCTGTCCCTGGGTCCAACTCTGCGTAGCCCTGCATGGCAGCTTCTCTCTTTCGGAGCTGTAACTAACAAAGTTCTGCTTTTCATCATCAGTATGTTGTGTCTCTTCGTCAAATAATCTTTCAATTTTATAAAACAGTCACTCGGTTATTAAGTGCCAGAAGTGAGGTTCAGACCTATATCAAAATATCTTAGATTCAGACCCTTTCTCTTAAATCAGTGCTCTGCTTCTGTGTCACACTGACTCTCTCCTTGTGCTATCAAAATTATCTACTATTGCAGCTCCTAACAGTGTTTCTTTTAGTGCTTGTGGAAGATATAGATTGCCACCTTCCCCTTTTCCTTTATTCATACTCATATTCTTAATGCTTTGATTCAATCCTAGATAGAACTCAACAGTCTTCAACATGGGAGTAATTTCCTATAGGGCCTCTAAGAGGTCATGCAAAAATATCAGTTTTACCAAAAGATCAAAGTTTATGTTACACACACACACACACACACACACACACACACAGCAGATATTGTAGATGGGCCATGAGATGTTAGTGATCTGTGAATTTCAAGACCTAAGGACCTGTAACTCAGAGGACCATCTAGCCCTCCCAAAGAAACCATTTGTGTTAAACAACAGAACTGCCTAGTTGATGCTTCTAGGACAGGCACATTTTACTATTTTGTTAATATGTTCATATTGTTCATCTTGGGTATTATCGGGGACCCCACCCCCAACATTCAACATGGGTTCTTTTCTATTTCCCTAAGCATCAGCTGGTCTGAGAAATAAAGGGAAAGAGTACAAAAGAGAGAGATTTTAAAGCTGGGTGTCCGGGGGCAGACATCACATGTCGGCAGGTTCTGTGATGCTCCCTGAGCCATAAAATCAGCAAGTTTTTATCAGTGATTTTTAAAAGGGGAGGGAGTATACGAATAGGGTGTGGGTCACAGAGATCACATGCTTCACAAGGTAATAAAATATCACAAAGCAAATGGAGGCAGGGCGAGATCACACGACCACAGGATGGGGCAAAATTAAAATTGCTAATGAAGTTTCAGGCACGCATTGTCATTGATAACATCTTATCAGGAGACAGGGTATGAGAGCAGACAACCGGTCTGACCAAAATTTATTAGGCAGGAATTTCCTCGTCCTAATAAGCCTGGGAGTGCTACAAGAGACCGGAGCTTATTTCATCCCTTTGTCTTCGACCGTAAAAGACAGCCACCCCCAAAGCGGCCATTTTAGAGGCATACCCTCAGGGGTGCATTCTCTTTCTCAGGGATGTTCCTTGCTGAGAAAAAGAATTCAGCGATATTTCTCCTATTTGCTTTTGAAAGAAGAGAAAATGGCTCTGTTCCACCGGGCTCACCGGCAGTCAGAGTTCAAGGTTATATCCGTTTATCCCTGAACATTGCTGTTATCCTGTGTTTTCAAGGTGCCCAGATTTCATATTGTTCAAGCACACATGCTCTACAAACAATTTGTGCAGTTAACGCAATCATCACAGGGTCCTGAGGCAACATACATCCTCCTCAGTTTACGAAAATGACTGGATTAAGAGATTAAAGACAGGCAAGGAAATCCCAAGGGATTGATTGGGGAAGTGGTAAGTGTTCATGAAATCTTTATAATTTATGTTCAGAGATTACAGTAAAGATAGGTGTAAGAAATTATACAAGTATTAATTTGGGGATCTAATAAATGTCCATGAAATCGTCACAATTTATGTTCTTTTGCCGCGGCTTCAGTCGGTCTCTCCGTTTGGGGTCCCTGACTTCCCGCAACAGGGTATTGTTCACCTTGGGCAGTAGCATCCGCATTTTGACAAACACTCAAAATGTTAATTTTCCTTTTTTGGGGACGGAGTCTCAATCTGTCACCCAGGCTGCAGTGCAGTGGTGCAATCATGGCTCACTGCAAGCCTCAACTTCCTGGCCTCAAGTGATCCTATCACCTTGAAAGAAATCAGGCACATTCCTCAGCCCCGGGCTCAACACAAACAGGCCCAGTACAAACACATCCCACCATATATCTCTCAACTTCCTGAGCCCAGTACAAACACCATATATCTCTCAACTTCCTGAGCCCACTACAAACACATCCCACCATATATCTCTCAATTTCCTGACAAACACCACCTGGAAAATCCCCGATAAGGACACAGCGTTTGAGGTTTTACTGAAAGCACGGGAACCAATAGAAAAACTACTAAATGTATAACTTAAAATGTAAACCAATTGTAATGCTGTAACCAAAAGAATTCCCTTGTTCCTCTGTAACTTTACTATCCTATTTACCTCGGGCTATAAAAGGCAAGCACTCGCATTGTTCGGGGCCCTCTTGTATGCTGTGGAATGGAGGGACCAAGTTCAAACTTGCAGTAAAAGATCCTTGCTGCTTGGCTTTGACTCTGGACTCCGGTGGTCTTCTTTGGGGAACAAACGGTCTGGGCATAACAACCTTGGCCTCCCAAAGTGTTGGGATTACAGGCATATGCCACTGCCCTTTAATTTTTCTTTTGCTGTTGTCTTTTTCTGCTCTTTTTTTTTTTCGAACATGAAAACTGCCAACATGCTCCTGTCTTTTTCTTTAATCAAAATAAGAAAGGCTTATAATTTTTATCAACTACTTTGCACTGAAAGGTTTGTAATACTTAAAAAAATCAAATAGCAAACCAGGTTTTAGAATGAAAAGCAACAGACCTACTTTATCATTTGACACACTCCCTGGTACTCCTGAGAGGTACCCTTTTCTATCTCTGGTTCTCCTAATGGTCACCTCCATATTACTAAGCAATTTAGTTCTATTACTTGTTGTTGTTGTTTTGTTTATTTACTCTTAACATTGCCTATTGAATATTTGCTATGTACAGTTGGAACTTAAGTCATAATCTTCAATATATGATTATGTTACTATTCTCAGTTTCTACTTTTGTCTCCTTGGGATGAAGGGCAACTTAAATTTTTACTCATCTTT